TTTGAAAACAATGGGTCCGAGTCCCTTGGTTAAGGGATCAACTAACATGAAGTTGTACCAAGATGTTCTACCATTATAAAACCATCTTTCATAAGATATTTAACAATTAGGTACTTCAACTCCAAGTGCTTAGATTTGCTAGAAATTTTATTGTTCCTTTTATGGAACACTATAACATTGTTATCACAAAAATCTTTAGAGGCCTAGTAATGGAGTCCACAATGTGAAGTCCTATCACAAGATTCGTCAACCAAACAACTTGAGTGACTATATCAAGATAAGCAATGAACTCTACTTGCATAGTAGAAGAGGCAACAAGAGTTTGTTCCTTACTCTTCCAAGATATTGCACCTCTAACCATCGTAAAGGTGTACCCAAAAGTCGATTTCCTATCATCAGGACACCTACAAAGATCTGAATCTATGTACCCCATAATCTCCAAGTTGTCAACTATTTTATAAAAAAGCATGTACTCTTTAGTCCTCTGCAAGTAACTCATCACCATTTTAGTAACTATCCAATGATGATTCCTAAGGTTTGATCAGTATTTGCCAAGAAACCTAACTATGAAGGCAATGTCAGGTCTAGTGCATACTTGAGCATTCATGAGGCTACCTAAGGCATTCCCAAAAGGCTTATCATTCATTTCTACTCGTTTAACCTCATTTTTAGGTCATTGATCTTTATTTAGCTTATCACCTTTGACAATTAGGACATCTTCAAGTTTACAAGTTTGCATATTGAATCTTTCTAAGACTTTATCAATGTAAGTCTTTGGAGATAACCCAAGAGCATGACATGATTTGTTTATGTGAATCATAATCCCCAAAATAAAAGAAGATTCATCAAGATCCTTCATCTCAAAAGATTTAGTCAACATCTGCCTTATTTCATGGAGCATCCCAAAGTCATTAGAAGCAACACAAGGAAGATAAATTTACTCCCACTAACCTTGTGGTTTACACATTAATCAATTGTATTAACCTCAAAACCCATGGAAGTTACCATTTTTTTTCAAATTTCAAGTATCATTGTCTAAAGTTTGTTTCAAAGCATAAATTAATTTCTTTAATTTGCAAACCAAGTCCTTATTACCACTAACATGGAAACCCTCAGGTTGCTACATGTAGATTGTCTCACTTATATCATTACTCAAAAAGGTTGTCTCCACATCCATTTGGTGTAATTCTAAATCAAATTGAGCTAAGAGAGCCATAATGATTCTAAATGGACCCTTAGCCAAGACAAGAGGAAAAGTCTCATTAAAGTCAATCTTTTTTTCTATGTGAAACCCTTTACCACTAGTTCGGCCTTAAACCTCTTAATATTACCCTTTAAGTTTTTCTTAGTCTTTAAGACTTATTTACAACCAATTACCTTACAATTCTTAAGCAATTTAACAAGCTTTCATATGCCATTAACCAACACTAATTACATCTCTTCATCAATTGCATTTTTCCATAATGTAGATTAAGAGCAAGAAATAACTTCTTGATAACTCCTTGGATCAACAACATCTCCAGTGTCATGTGTGTCCTCATTAAAATAGACAATAAACTCATCACTAATAGTAAGTTGCATCTGTCTAGTTGACCTCCTTAAAGGAATACATGTAGCTTGCTAAAATGGTTATGGAACTTCAACTATAGTAAGATGATTCTCATCAATCTGAAGACCATTTGCATTCTTATTTAGTAGTTTAATCTCCACTAGAAATTTAGTTTCAACAAGAACAACTTGATGAACACTAACACTAGAAATAGGTTATTGGTAAAGAAGGAATAATAGGATCAAGTAGATCACGCTATAGAAACTTTGCGTTCATAAACTCAACACAATTTTGCTCCTCTTACCAAGATAAAATAACGAGTATCATTTAGCCTCGATTTTGATATATATATATATATATATA